GCTAATCTGAGGTCTTTTATAATAGTGCCTTAGTTTTAACTTGATGGGGACTGGCTTCTACAACTCATTAAATGTTTCCTATTTTAATGGTAGTAAATTGTTTGCCTATATACTAAAAAAGGAACCTTTATATTATTTTGTTACCTTAAAAAAAATCTTGCCCTAGAAGTCAGTCTTATAAACCTACAGGGAATCTCAAAGCTTAATTTTCTAAAACAGCTTTTGGTGCTTAAACAACAAGTTTCCAGCTAGCTGAACACAAAAATAGTGAATGAACTTCAACTCAGCCAAGTGCTAACAATTGAGGATGACGGCAGAACCTCCCAGCTGAGAACTTTATGCTGAACAAAGTGGCCTGAATCCTTTATGGCTCTTGATTTTGCTTGTGATTCCCTCACCAGTGTGCAAAATTGGTTGTTTTTTGTTGATATCCTGTGGGCATCTTTTGATGACTCCCACTGGGCCACTTTTGTGAATTCAGGTATGCAATGGCACCCCCCTGCATGCCATCTGCTCTTCTCTTCACTGTGTAGGCGACAGCAGAGTGGAGGGAAGCTTCTCTCCCTTTTAACGATGATGTCTTCTTGCTGGGGAGTTGTGTTCATCTGAGGACCCATGTTTCCCTGCAGAAGGCTCTGTTGCATGTCCTGGAAATGAAGAGCTTTTGAGTGACCAGCAGGGAATGCTGTGCCTTTCTGGAGAATTTCGTTAGAGTGTTTTATGTGCAGGGCTGGAAACCAGTGGTTCCTCGTAATGGAGCTTCTGACTTGTTGACATCAGCTGCTTTGATGGAAGCTCATTATCACTGGGTTGGGGTCAAGAATGACACAAAATAAGCTTAGGCACAATGATATTAAGAGTTATAGTGTATGCTGGCCACATAGCGGGAGATATTCTAATCTCACTTCAGCTTTAAATATGAAAGACATTAATTAAAATTGTGCGTGTGGATTTACCAAACCCTTAGGGAAGAAAAGTGATTTAACAGACTTGTGTTTTCTTGCTGCTGCTACTGATTTTGAAATAAGGATTTGTATAATTAATTGGTTCCTTGTGGAGCAGCTCGTCTGCTTTTTCTACATGGATTGTCCTTAGAATAAAGTTAATGTTTAAAAGAATCAAGACTTTTCACATTGTGAATGCTCAATAATTACTTGGTAAATCAACATACAAAATTGATTTCAGGATAAACAAAAGGTAGTATATGTATCCAATGGAATATTATTCAGCTGTAAAGCAGGATGAAATTCTGATATATGCCATGGCCTAGATGAGCCTTAAGACTATTGTGTTAAGTAAAATAAGCCAGACACTTATATGAGTAACCCAGAGACAGAAAGTAGAATCAAGGATCAATAGAGAGTACAAGGGCTAAATTGAAGGGGAATAGGGAATTAGTGCTTAAAAGATACGGAGTTTCTATATGGGGTGATGAAAAAGTTCTGAAATAAATGATGATGATGGTTGCACAAAACAGTGAGTATACTCAATACCCCTGAATTGCATGCTGTAAAGTGGCTAAAATGGTAAATTTTTGGTTGTATATATTATGATGAACATATTAAAAAATTGACTATAGTGCAGAAATGGTATATGAGATTTCTATAGATGCAAAAACATAGAAAGTCAACTTTTTATTTTTAGGGACTTATTACTGGAGCTTATAAATTGGCCTGAAGGTGATTTTTCTGTGGGTCTGACTGTAATCAGCAGTAGAGCAAACCTTTACTCCAAACTGTTGCCAACACTAAAGCTTTGGACAGTTGTAGCCCAATTCTTTCCCAATATTTGTTGGAAGAAATATTTATGGGAAATATTTCACAGTAAATAGAGTCCATTAATTCTCCTAGAAATTCTAATTTTCATCTGTGCATGACATCATATGATCAGATTTTTCTGTGTTTGGCCTCTTTTTTGTTTATTCTCATTAAAAAACTTCAGTGAATTCTGCTTTATCACCAAATCTCACACTGTAGGAAGAAGCATTCTATGAAACTCCCTGCTGTATATACTTAGAGGTACTGTTAGTTACTTCCCCTCTTTCTCTCCTCGAATATGTATATAAGAAATACTCTAAAATTTAACCCAAGGAATGGAAGATTAATACACTGGCAGCCATTTTGTAATGACAAGAGAAAGCTTAACAGTCTTGAGAAGTGCATATCCTGTATTTTATCTTAGATTCAGAATGATTATATTCTATCCATATTCTTCTTTATATTGGCCATTGTATCCTCAGAGCTTGATTTATGAAGTATATCAAATAATAGTTTAGCACTTTACAAAATACATTTCTGTGAAGTAAGTTCTCCTTGTGCTCTTCTAACCTCTTCTTCATGTTGTCATCTTTACATAGTTTATGTGTTTCATAAATTAACATACTTAATTTTGAAATGAGATGGTATGTTAGGATTCTCAAGAGAACCTGGACCAAAAACATCTCTGTGTGTGTGTGTGTGTGTGTATGATAAGTATATGAGTATGTGAGGAAATATTTATTTTAAAGAATTGATTTATGATTATGGGGCCTAGCTAGTCTGAAAATTTCAGAGCAGAGTTAATAGTCTTTTTTTTCTTTTTTTTTTTTTTGACATGGAGCTGAATGACTTTATTATTATTATTACTTTTTATCCTTTTATTTAAAGTATACAAACTTCATGTATTTAATAAATTCAAATTTAGGAACATATTGATTCTTCCCACCTTACCCACCTTCCTACCAGCCCTCCCACCCTTATTCCTCCTCCCTCTCCTATTCCCATTCTTATTTTTTTACTAAGATCTATTTTCAATTAACTTTATATACATAATATTAACCCTGTACTAAGTAAGGAGTTCAACAAATAATATGAAAAAAAAAAAAAAACTTCCTCAACAATCGAGACAAGGCTGTTCAAGGTCATTGCATCTCAAGATGTCAATTTCTATAGATTAACTTTTTGGTATTTTATTGGTTACCACAGATCAGGGAGAACATATGGTGTTTGTCTTTTTGGGACTGGATTATTTTACTAAGTGTAATGTTTTGCAGTTTCATCCATTTTGTTGCAAAAGACAGGATTTCATTTTTTTAACTGCTGTGTAGTATTACATGGTGTACACATCCCATAATTTTTTTATCCAGTCTTCAGTTGACAGGCATTTGGGTTGATTCCATATCTTGGCTATTGTGAATTGAGCTGCAATAAACATGGGGATACAGATAACTCTTTCACATGCTGATTTCATTTTCCTTGGGTAAATTCCCAGGAGTGGGACATCTGGGTCATATGGTAGGTCTATATTCAGATTTCTGAGGTATCTCCATGCTGTCTTCCATAGTGACTTTACTAGCTTACATTCCCATCAACAGTGGATTAAGATACACTTTCCTCCCACATATTTGCCAGCATTTGTTGTTTGTTAATTTCCGTATGAAATCCATAGGCATCACAATACCAGATCAAGACATACCAGAGGGCAGTTATAATCAAAACAGCCTGGTACTGGCAGAAAAACAGGTGGATAGACCAATGGAACTGAAAAGAAATGCCAGAAATCAATCTATACATCAACAACTAATTTATCTTTGACAAAAGAGCTAAAATCAATTCCTGGAGCAAGGACAGTCTATTCAACAAATGGTGCTGGGAAAACTGGAGTTCTGCATACAGAAGTATGAAACAAGACCCCTATCTTATACCTTACATAAAAACCCACTCAAAATTGATCAAAGACCTAAATTTACAACTTGATACTCTCAAATTGCAAGAGAAAATTTGGGAACTCTTGCAAGATATTGGCATAGGCAAAGAATTCTTGGAAAAGACCCCAGAGGCACAGGCAATCAAAGCCAAAATTGACCAATGGGATTACATCAAATTGAGAAGCTTCTGCACTGCAAAAGAAACACTCAGTAAAGTTAAGAGGCAATGGACAGAATGAATGCAAACTATGCAACTGATAAAAGACTAATAACCAGAATATATAAACAGCTCAAGAAATTCAACAACAACAAAACAAACAACCCAGTTAACAAATGGGCAAAGGAGTTAAACAGGCATTTTTCAAAAGAGGAAATCCAATGGCCACCAAACACATGAAAAAATGCCCAGGATCATTAGCTATCAGGGAAATGAAAATCAAAACCACAATGAGGTTTCACCTCATCCCTATTAAAGTTAATAGTATTGATTCCAAGGTAGTCCAGAGGCAGAATTCCTTCCTGGGGAACCTCAATCTTTTCTCTGAAATCCCTAACCAATTGAAAGTAGCCAACTAATATTATGAAAGCTGATCTGCTTTACTCCAAGTCTGTTGATTTAAATGTTAATCACATGTGAAAAATATCTCAACAGCAACCTCTAGACTGATGTTTGATGAACTGGGCACCATAGCCTAACCAAGTTTATGCATTAAATTAATCATCACAGGTAGGGCTACATATATAATTTCCTAAAAATCATGGTTATCTTTAATATTTATTTTTGAGTGCATGTAGAGAAATGTTCCAATTCCCTTCCACCCAGGTTCAAGTCTCATGTTGTCATTATTTCATCAGCTGGTAGGGCTGTCTTCCAAACCACATTTGGTTATATGGCATAGAGTCTTCATTGTGGATATGTTCAATGGGTGAATGTGGGAATGCTACAGCCTGCCAAATAACCCTGATTTATGTCAGTATTATACAATGTTCTGCCAGCTCTTTGGTAAACAGTCATTTCTGTGGCGGGACGTGATGAGGTTTATGATTTCACCAATTATTCCCATTCCCAATTAGACAGGGTCCAGATGTGTGTTAATAAAAAGTTAGCTCACTCTCTCTAACAATAATGGCCTCACCTTGACTCGATTCCAGAGATCTTATGCATTTTATATTATTCAATCAAATATATTGTTTCTGGTCTATTCTGAAAGGTCTTCACGCCTCTGGAGATCTTTTTTGTTCAAAAATGTTCCAGTTGTTCAGGAATGCAAATGTGCAACTGCAGTGGCTCTTACCTATCTTTTTTCTTTGATAGGCTGGTTACATTGGGCATAAACATCTGCACATACCAGAGAGAAGCCTGCCAGCCAACTCTTTTTAAGGTAAGAATTGGAACTGTTATGGACAACCCCTGGCCTCTCCTTGCAGCTGTGGCTCAGGGTGCTGGGGGTCCACGTGGGCCCTGATATCTTGGGACTCTGTTTTCCTCCATCCTCTCAGCAATTTTCCAGGTTTAAATTCATCCAAACTTTTTGCTGTTCACTGTAGTCTTGGAGCATGGAAGACTGGCTTGGGCTTGTTACATTTTTGGTGAACTCATAGAGTGAGTCTCCATGCCCAGGAAATAGTTAGTGGATCAAAGATTTCTGTGCTTACCACTGAAAACACTTGTTTAGTTAACTAAAAAACCTACTAAGAGTAACTTTCCCAGTGACTGGGTGGGAGTAGGTGTGGGTGGGGAATGATGCTTTGCAAGTGTCTGTATCAAGTGAAATGTATTAGTAGGTGTGTGCACGAATTATTGAGTATTTGTATTTCTAGGACATTTACATTTTAATGTTAAGGCTTGGGAAATGTTTCTTGATCCAAAAAACCTGAGAGTATTACCTTAACAAAAAAGAAACAACAGTATAGATATGAGAATATCTAAAGGTGTTTTATTGACAACTGCTTTTTAGTTCATTCATTTTTTAAAAATATTTCTTTATTCATTTGAAAGGCAGAGTTACCGAGAGGCAAAAGCAGAGGCAGAGAGAGGTCTTCCATATGCTGGTTCACTCCCCAGATGGCCACAATGGCTGGGCTATGCTGATCCAAAGCCAGGAGCTTTCTCCAGGTCTCCCACACAGGTGTAGGGGCCCAAGAACTTGGGCCATCTTCCAAGGCTTTCCCAGGCTGTTGCAGAGAGCTGAATCAGAAGTGGAGCAGCCAGGACTTGAACCGGTGCCCATATGGGATGCCGGCACTGAAAGTGGCTGCTGTACTCATTACACCACAGTGCCCACCCCAGTTCATTCATTTTACCTGTTGGCTTTAGCTATGGTGCTTAATACATAGGCTGACCAGGTTAGATTGTTAGGGCTGTCTCCATTTTCCCAGGTGAAGAAATCAAACCAGAGGTCTGGTTTGCTGAGGTCAGTCTGCATATGCCAAGGACTGCATTTATGAGGTTCCTAGGACTGAGTAGTCTTCTCCCTGGCTATGAGGGTTATTAGCTCCCAGCTCAGAGACTGTCTACCTTGCAAACAGACCTCCCACCTTGCACCTGATGGAGTAAAGGGAGAGAGGAAGAAGCCCAAGGAAATTCTGAGATGAGGAGCTAATTGAGCCAGGGCCATGTTTATATTTCCCCCACCTCATTTTTATTCTTTTTTTCCTGAAGAGCTGATTGAATTATTAGCACTAGTTTTCGTTAATGATAATTATACGTTCCAAGTACAAAGCAGAATTCTGTAAAATATCTACTAAAGATGCCTTACTCTTTGCCTTTTTAAATGGATGACATTGTACTACCCTAATTAGGCCCAACAAAACAAGCAGGAATCTGTATTTTATCATCATTGTTTTCCTGAGGGCATATCAAGTGGTTTGCAAGCTGTTACTTCAGCTTAAGAGCCTTCTATTAATAAAACCAAGGCATGTGAAGATCAGGAGTTATGATCCAGCTATGAGACATAGAACAGTGGGTCATCTTCCCAGGCGAGGAAATATAATTCCTCATTTGATAACAATGGAGATTTAAAAAATAGCAACTCTAATATTTACCATCTGTATCACCACCATCATGACAACCAACATTTATTGGCTCTTCTGTCAGGCACCAGACTCAGCATTTTTTTAAAAATATTTTTTTATTATTTATTTGAAAGAGTTACAGAGAGGCAGAGGCAGAGAGAGAGAAAGAGAAGAGAGAAAGAGAGAGAGAGAGATCTATCTATCTTCCATCTGCTGGTTTAATCCTTAGCTGGCTGCAACAGCCAGAACTGCATTGATCCAAAGCCAGGAGCCAGGAGCCTCCTCTGAGTCTCCCATGTGGGTGCAGGGACCCAAGCACTTGGGCCATCTTCTGCTGCTTTCCCAGACCATCAGCAGGAAGCTGGATTGGAAGTGGAACAGCTGTGACTTAAATCAGTGCCCCTATGGGATGCCAGCACTGCAGGTAGTGGCTTTACCCACTCTGCCACAGCACCAACCCCTTAAAAGATTTTTATTTATTTATTTGAGAGGCAGAGTTACAGGCAGAGAGAAGGAGAGACAGACAAAAGTCTTCCATTTGCTGGTTACTCTGCAAATGGCCTCAACAGCTGGAGCTAGCCATTCTGAAGGCAGGAGCCAGGGGCTTCTCCTGAGTCTTCCATGTAGGTGCAGGGGCCCAAAGCCTTGGGTCATTTTCTACTGCTTTCCCAGGCCATTAGCAGAGAGCTGGATTGGAAGAGGAACACTTGGGTCACAAACTGGCACCCATATGTGATGCTAGCACCACAGGCAGAGGCTTAGCTTACTATGCAGTAGCGCTGGCCCCCTGACTCAACATTTCATATGTGTTATCTCTCTTAACCTGCATGGCACTCCCATGAAGAAGATTCTGTTTACATCTGCCTTTTAAGTTGAGGAAGCTCAGATGGGATGTAACCCAGTGATCAGTACAGAGCAATGTCCAGCCCACTTGGAGGTGTTTAGGGCCCTTGCTCTGCTGACTTCCACACTTGTCCTTCTCCATTTTGCCCCCTGACCACTCCCTACCATTTACATTTTCTCTTCTGCATTGAGGTTGCCAAAAATTTCAAGAGTTACATCAATAGTTCAGATTGTTCAATAAATATTTGGATTATGGAGAACAGCAAGAATAATTAAGAATAAAGTCACCCAGTTTGAAAAGATGACAGTTGTAGACATTAACACTTTTATGTATCTTTTATGTATTTTGTGTGATTACTTCACCTAGTTATTATCTGAGGGTACTTCAGAAAGTTCATGGAAAAGTACAATGGAAAGCTAAAAAAATTTTTGAAATGCATGAACTTTTTGAAGACCTTGCATATATATTCATTTCATGTTTACTTCCAAATAAACTTATTATCTTTTAATTTCCTTTTCCACAAACTTTTAGTTCCCTTATAAGTTTAAATTTTGAATTTTAAGCTTTTGTTTCTATAAGCTTGTTTTAATGGATGCTGACCACTCTATTTAATGTATGAGAAGTCTTCAAAAGTTCCGTGAAGTATTCACATATATGTACACACTGTTCTCTTAAGTCTGTTCCACCAAAAGTTGTATTCTTGAGTTGCTGCCATGTGGCAATTACAGTTTGTGCTCACCATATTTGATAGCTAATTTCTGTTTGCCAGACAACTTGGTCAGGAATGTGGGATACCTGTGTTCGCTAACAGTGTAAACACCTGTTATCTTCAGAAGGTATGGAATAGGATGGAGCTGAAGACCGACTGCCCTAGACCCCAGGTGACTCAGATTTGACTGTGCACCAGGACCAGTGGCAAGTCATTGGGTTAATTACTTCATTTTAGCATCTTTCTTGGTGAATCACTTACATCTAATCAAGTCTGGAATGCCATAAAATTCATTCCTCATCTGTTGTGATTCATAATCTGATCAGTTCCAATTGATGGAGCAACTGTGTCTGGGCTCAGCTGCGTTACTCTTAAGTTGTTTTGAGAACAGAATTCTGTCTTTCAAGATGGCCAAATCTGTAAGCCTATGGAAGGAGAAACATCTTAGCTAATTCTATGTAATTCTTGCTGTTCCTGCTTCTGCATTCTTCCTGCAATAACTTTCTCCCTCATGTGGATAATCCTACAGGACAGATAGTACAAAGTATGTGCTCCACAAACAGGAGCAAACAAATATAGGCACAGACAAATGCGGCTGGGTTTTGTGTAAGAACGTTTAGTACTGTGGCTGTCCAACTTAACAAATTAATGGGTAAGATTGTTTCATTTAAATGTGGTGAATTTGAGCACTCTGGCCTCAGAATCAGCCCTAAAGGCACTCGGATCTGGCTGAAAAGCCCATGAGAGTATTTCAGGCATGGAAAGCCAAGACACTCTGGCAAAAAGATCTCTGTGAGTGAGATCCCAGTGGAAAGAACAGGTCTTCAAAGAGGGAGGTGCCTTTCTCTGAAGGGAGGAGAGAACCTCCACTTTGACTATGACCTTGTCTAAACAAGATAAGAGTCGGAGAACTCAAGGGGCTTCCATAGCCTTGGAAACTCATGACTGGTGCATAGGGAGATTACTGATGCCATAAACAGGAGTGTCAATTTGTAAAGTCAACAACAGGCGTCACTGTGCACTTACTCCTCATGTAGGATCTCTGTCCTTAATGTGCTGTACACTGAGGCTTAATGCTATAACGAGTACTCAAACAGTATATTTCACTTTGTGTTTCTATGGGGGTGCAAACTGTTGAAATCTTTACTTAATGTACACTAAACTGATCTTCTGTTAAAAAAAAAAAAAAAAGAAACTATCAATTCCCAACTTGACTCTCACTGGGATTAAACATGACAATAGGTCTGATCTGATTTCATCATTATTTTAAAAAAAATCATCTATTATTTTTCACTTTATGTTTCTGTGTGGGAACAAACTGTTGAAATCCTTACTTAAGGTATACTAAGCTGATCTTCTGTATACTAAGATAATCGAAAATGAATCTTGATGTGAATGGAAGGGGAGAGGGAGTGGGAAAGGGGAGGGTGGTGGGTGGGAGGGACGGTATGGGGGGGAAAGCCATTGTAACCCATGAGACGTACTTTGGAAATTTATATTCATTAAATAAAAGATAAAAAAAAAATGTGGTGAATTTGTTTATTACAAACATGGATTTAAGCTTACAAAGTCTCTCGTAACACACATTTCAGGACAGTTTCCTATAAAGATGATTATCAATTCTGTCCACTCATGATGCAGACAAGAGAATAATGATCTGTGGAACTTGATAATTTCTCCTCTATATCATGGAGTAAGCCTTTTGCTTACCAAAGCAAAATCAGAGCTTGGAATGTGGTCAGTCTCTTGTGTAGGGAGGGAAAGATTTTCCCTTTACCTCTAAGGGTCCCTAATAGGTCGACCAAAAAAAGTGA